ATACTTCGTCTAACCACTCCTTTCCTTTCCTTCCCCATCCCTCCCCCTCCTTCCGCCTCCCCTTCCTCCTTTTTTAGCCTCTATCTCCAATAACTTTTCATTCCTGCTTCTCCCTCTCTTCCTCTGCCTCTACTTCCTTCTCCCTCCTTCCTCCTCTCACATCTACCTCTACTTCCTCCTCTCACATCTACCTCTACTTCCTCCTCCACCGACAGAAATGTTTTTGTATATGTATGTATGCACATGTAAATATGCTGCTATAAAAAATACAACACAAATTAATAATACAATATAAATAAACAAATTATATTCTTTCTCTCTCTCTTTTCTTTATCTCTATATATATATATATATATATGTGTGTGTGTGTGTGTGTGTGTGTGTGTGTGTGTGTGTGTGTGTGTGTGTGTGTGTGTGTGTGTGTGTGTGTGTGTGTGTGTGTGTGTGTGTGTGTGTGTGTGTGTGTGTGTAAATGCAGTACAACAGTTGTACACATATACGAACATTGCAGATAAATAACAATATGCATCTTATGCACGCATGTGTGTGTGTGCTTGTGAGCGCGTGCACATCCGAAGAACCTCCCCCCACCCCCACCCCCACCCCCCGCCGACAGATCTGCTGCATTATCACAGGGTACGAACGCTGAGCAATAGAGCAAAAGCGCGACGCGACACGACCCTTCCCTCTCCCACGCCCCCCACCCCCACCCCACCCCAACTCCGTGATTGTAGAGGGGGTTAGAGGCCTGCAAGCTGACGGGGGAAGGGGGGACTGGGAAGGAGAGAGGGAGGAGGGAGGGAGGGAGGGAGAGTGGGAAGGAAGGAAGGATGGAAGGAGGGAGGGAGGGAGGGAGGGAGGAGAGGGGAGGGAGAGGGAGAGGGAAGGGAGGGAAGGAGGGAAGGAGGGAAGAGGAGAGGGAGAGAGGAGAGAGGGAGAGAGGGAGAGAGGGGAGAGGAGAGAGGGAGGGAGAGAGAGAGGGAGAGAGAGAGAGAGAGAGAGAGAGAGAGAGAGAGAGAGAGAGAGAGAGAGAGAGAGAGAGAGAGAGAGAGAGAGGAGAGAGAGAGAGAGAGAGAGAGAGAGAGAAAGACGAGAGACAGAGAGCAGAGAAGAGACCGAGAATAGAGAGAGAAGAGAGAGAGAAGAGAGAGAGAGAGAGAGAAAGATATAGATAGATAGAAAGAAAAAGACAGAAAGAAAGAGAGAAAAGAGAGAGAGAGAGAGATGCTGCTGTCGTTGCGGCGTCTTCGAGCGACTTGTTCATGAGCTCACGTCCTCGCAACATGCATCCACTCACTTGATTCGTTTTGCACTTTTCGTCGCTTCTCTTCCTCCCTCGCGCTCTCCCTTTTCCCCCTTTTTTTTAACTCTAATTAACCATCCACTTTTTTCATTTTCTCCATCTCCGTTTCTCCGACTGTTTTTATTTATTTATTTTCTTTCTCGCTATTTCTCTTATACTTTCTTCCGTCTCCCTTCCTCTTCCTTTCTCATCCTTCCTCTAGCTCGTCTCACTCTTTCTTTCCTCCTTTCTTTGTATCCATCCATCAATAGCATTTCTTTCCAGCCCCACCCCCCTCTCCCCTCTAACTCGCTTTCTACCTACCTTCCTTCGCGTCTCTTTCTTTCCTTCTATTTATCTTACTTCCTTCACGCCTTCCCTCCCTCCTACCTCTTTTTCTTTCTTCCTTTTCTCATTACCTGCTCCTTTCCTTACTTTTTTTTTTCCTCCTTCCTACTTCCCTCCCTCCCTCCTTCCTTCCTTCCTTCCTTCCCTCCCTCCTTCCCTCCTACCTCTTTCTTTTTCATCTTCCTTCCTTCCTTTCTCTTTACCTGCTCCTTTCCCTCCCTTTTCCCCTCCTTCCCTCCTTCGCACCATCCCTCCCTCTCTCTCTCCCCCCCTCCCCCTCCTCACCTGCCTCCACCTGTGCTCCAGAAAAACCGCCGTCCCTTCCTTCTCGCACTTAACCTCTCCTTTCGACAGCCTCCTTCAAGCCGCGGCCTCTTTTCCTCACTCTTCCTCCCTTTCCTTCTTTCTTTTCTCCTTTCTCTCCTTCTCTCTTTTCTTTCTTTTCTCTCTCTCTCTCTCTCTCCACTACCTACCTATCTGCCAACCTTTCTCTCCTTCCTTTCTTGATCTATCCTTTTCTCTCCCTTATTCCTTCTCATCCATCGTTCCACTCCCTTCCTTAAACTCCTCTTCGTTATCCCTCCTCTTTCCCTCCTCTC